AACCATCACAGGACTTCTTTCACTTTCCCTCACAGACTGTGTCCAGTGTCTTTAGATGGGGCCAGAGAGCCTCTGTGGAGCCTGTCAGTTTGTTTTGGTGAATTATGTAAGAGGATATCCTGTAGCTATACATTTACAAGACACAACTGAAAGTTAGTTACGTAGAGGAAACTACTAGAGCGATACAATTTTGTCATAGCTAATTATAAAAAGTATCATCAGATACCAGAACAGAATGCTATATAAAAAGGGACCGGGGAAAGTTGTCAATAGTATTTATTTATTTATTGTACGTTGGTTTCAGACACCTAGTTCATATTTTTTTGTGAATTTATCGCCCCAAAAAAATACTATTTATATCAAGTCATCATTTTTGTAAACAATTGAGCTCAATAAAACCACACTGACATACATTCTGACAAACATCAACTCTCAGATTCAGATTTATTATTATTTTCAGATTGTAACAAAGGTTGAACTGTTTTCAGTGCAAGAATATTTTTCATATGTCGGGGCAAGCTGTCATGTTTTTGACCAAAACATGTTGCAAATTTATTTATTTATTTACCATTTTCAGATTTTTTTGTTTATTTTTTTCTTCATATATGTTGTAACGTTATGTAGTATAACTACATAATGACTTTGGGTAGAAGGTCAAATCAGAGGAGTAAATTTAACCAAATTTTACAGGAGTAAATTGAAAGTAGCCCTAGTTTCCTCTATACTTTATGCTCAGTCACTCATTAGTAAGAACAATTGTTGTATTTTGACCATTTGATGGTGATGTGTTGTCTGAAATAATCATAATGCGTCATAAATTACAGACATTTTGACAGCAACATACCTTTGGAAAAAGCAACATTGTGCAAAATATGACATTCATCAACTCTTAGGCTCACTGAATTATAAAGCTAGAGCGACATCTAGTGTAGCTATTTGTTACCACAGTTCAAATGGTATGACACAATAGTCCTAGGGTGGACACCGATTAGCTATTTTGTTTTATTGTATTTTTCTATTCATGTCTGCAGAGTGTATGTCAATATATGTAGAATGGATCTTTTCTGCCCTCTTGTGGCATACAAGGAAACATACGAAACATTATTTGCAGTTAGGATTATTTGGTTTTGCTGATGGGGTGGTTTGCTATTTGTATTTTTAGCAGTGCAAACAAGGTGGCAACTGTCTGAAAAGTAGCAACTTTGGCAAAGCCCTGTGTAAGTAAGCAAGACTGTGATGACTTGGCAATGTGCTGTGGTCAAAATATCTGATCATGCATATTTGTCTTGTGGCAGTGGAGGCTTAATTTTTGTTTCTTTTAGTTTATCTTTATTATTATTATAGTAGTAGGATTAGTATTAATAGTACATATTGTGTAATATTATATATTATGGATACTAAATGCTAAACTGAATTGTAATACAGAAAATGACATGACCACAAGAAAGCCACAAAATTACAGGCTTCTTTAAACATAAGCAAGAAATAATTTCTGGAGCTTTACCTGCTGTGACTAATGACAACATGTACTGTAACTAAAGAAATGTGAACATTTTTATTCATCTTATAGAAAAGTATGACTCCAAAAATGTCTGTACTTTGCAGAAAAAATGAACTGGACATAATGTAAAATGTATGCATGCATCACTTTCATTGTGTTCATTTTGTGTAATTTTCACAACTCACAACTTTCAAAACTCTTTTATGGAGTTTTTGTTTACAAAAAGCAAACATTTCATTATCTAAACATTTGGTGTGTTTTTATACAACCGTACAATCCATTAAATTCACTGTACAAATCTTGTTTTCATTTTTGTCAAAAAATTAAATATGGCGCTACCCTGACTAAGGCTTATTGAGTTCTAGTTTCCATAACTCTCTTTCCAGCCAAGCAGCCTTGGGTTTACATTGTAACCATTAACAACTTGGATCACACCCTAGTAAAAGTATTATGACAACGAGGTAAAGAGAGAGAGTACAAAAAACTGCAGGATATGAATCATACTTGGCATAACTGAATAGCCATTTTAAATATAAAGTTTTGCACATGAAGACGTTTGAAAATTTGAAAGCTTTATGTTAAATGAAAACATATTTGCTTTCAGTACAGACAGTTTAAAGCTCAAA